TTTAACTGTTGAATGAAATGAATGAGAAATTAGCAGAAGAGAACACTTTCGGTGATAAAAGCTGTGAGAGCGATTGCAATAGCAAGGAAAAGAATGAAAAGCCTGTTAGACCCGACGAGCTAATGATACTCAGAAAATATGAGAATGAAGAATGTTGCCATCAAACAACCGCGTTAACACCATCACATGTCCGACTTTAAAAATTATATATACGAGTTAAAAAACACCATCACAATGACGTTCTATCATAAAATAGCAACTGCACGAAATACTAATTTCCCGCCCCCTCTATTACTCCTTGACACCTCCGAATTTCTCAAAATGGATAATTTCACCCCCTGTGAAAACTACTGCTCCAGATGAAAAATCCAGTAGGCTGAAGTTAATTCTTTTTGTTGCAGTTTCATCGCTTTTTGAAAACTACGAAAACATCGTCATTCGCTCTAAATTTTTGTTCATTTTTGCATCAACGCAGTACAGACAGTTCACATTTATGAAAGTTGCGGACCTCACTTTAATTTCACCCCCTGTGAAAACTACTGCTCCAGATGAAAAATCCAGTAGGCTGAAGTTAATTCTTTTTGTTGCAGTTTCATCGCTTTTTGAAAACTACGAAAACATCGTCATTCGCTCTAAATTTTTGTTCATTTTTGCATCAACGCAGTACAGACAGTTCGCATTTATGAAAGTTGCGGACCTCACTTAGAGACCAATATTGCATTGAATAAAAAGTGGTGGATCATACAAAAACTGATCGACAGCAAATATTGCTTGCATTATGTTGTGGAATTGGATCCCATGAAAAAATGAAAGTATAAAAATGCCCGACTTAAAAACAGCTAGCAACGGCATACGAACCTCTTCCGAGTTTCGGAGTATTTATCATTTATTATAATTTTTTCACCCTCATCACGTATTCTGTTTCATCCGAGTTTCGGAGTATTTATCATTAATATTCAGAAACAACGTCGTTCCCGTTGTCACACCTTCATCTTCGAAGCATTCGCAGAGCAACAACAATGTGATTTTACCGGCAACTACGGCAACAAGGTAAGAGTTCGCCTCTTATAGCCCAATTACAATAACTTCACTTTTCCATTGAACAAGCAACACTGACATACTGTATTATTCATTTGCGCCAGTGAGTGTACTTCAGGCCAGAGGTAAACAGTGCTCTAGAGCGAGAGAGCACGGCACCTTGCGTTTCACCGGAAATCTCTGATCCGGATGCATCCGAACAACCGTTGCGAACAATTGAACACTTCCCGTTCATTGACTCTGATAGTCTCACTTCTTTGATGGGACAATACGATGTGCCTGATTCTCCAAGAATCGAGGTGAATAATTTTATTTGGTTCGAATATCATCTGAATTTGTTGATTTCTCTAATGACGGCCTCGATGCTCGATGTTTCAGGCAACGAAACCGGCACAAGAAGAGATAACAAGCGCTGAAGAGGTTCGTATGCCGTTGCTAGCTGTTGCGAAAGTAACAAGACGTAAGCGTACTGAAAATGGTGTGAGACGTTTGTTGACTGCAATGAGATCGAGAAGTGTTCGAAGACGAGAACATCGCAAGGGTGATTACAAATCACGATCTGAGAACCGTGCTAGAAAGGTGAATTGAATTATCGATTCCATTACGCTCTTCTTCTGTTCCAAACCAAAAACGTATCTTATTTTTACTCGAAAGCGTCATCGAAAAGAATGCGTGCTGTGTGTGTCGATTGAACTGCTTCCCATGCCGTCTATCAGTGTTTGCATATACGGCGATTCTTTTTTGAATGGTGAATCCTTTAATAATCCCGAGTCATTTTAAGGATCAATTGACGTCCGCACTTTAAGGAACTCATTTTTAGGGGAATTGATTCATATTTCTATTGTTCAGTTTCATTTCCGCATAAATGCTTGTAGAATTCGAATTCATTTTCCAATGACATGAAGCATTCCCATGAGATTCTCGATGAAAGTGACGATGTAGAAAGTGGCATTTTATGTTTAGTTAGAGTGTCGCTGGGGATTCGTTTGTGTTTAAAAATAACAAGTTTTGTGCAAGAAGCTGTCAGAATTTCAATTTTTATCATAAAACTGCAAACTCATTTCTACTGACATTATCATTCGTCAAATGAGGATCAACTTATATGCATAAACTTATTTGAGAGAAGAAAAGAAACAAATTGGGGATCATCATTGAACGGATGTATGAAATTTTAGAAAAGAGAGAGTGAAAAACCGCATAGTAACAGAATAGATGATGAGGGTGAAATACTAATCTTGCATTAGAAGGATGCCATTTTACACACTATTCAGCCCTGATTCAATAAAATTTCAGGCACTTCGAACAATAACATTCATTTTGGGTACATTCACGATTTTATGGACACCATTCTATGTGTTGGCCACGGTGATAGGATTTTGTGAATCGTGTAAAGAATCCAAAACATTCAATTTAATTTATTCGATTAGTTATTTTCTTTGCTATATGAATAGTCCAATCAATCCGTTTTGCTATGCAATGGCTAATCAACAATTCAAACGAACGCTCACACGAATTTTCCGTGGAGATTTCAGAAGGACATAAACAGCTGAATTTGTTCAAAATGCGATGTATTCGATATCTTATTAACGCTGAATACACCATTGATTTGTGTGCAATGTGGCTGATAAATCATTCCATATCATTTTTCTTGAGCGATTACTGATACATGTTGCGTTCGAAAATTTGCAGTATTTGAAAGGCCGTTCGATCCAAATATGAAGTCTCCATCTCCCACTTCACATGAGCCTTTTGATTACCTTCATACTCATCATAGTCTCTCTTTCTGAATGAATCAATTTTGTACAAAATAGCTATATTTGATAATATTTTGGTAGTAACACCGGAATGAGCGAATTAAATAACTAATGTTTTAATGCAATCCGACTCATTCAGGGTTTGTAATAGAATTTAGGTAGCTGCGTGGAATTTTTCCACAAAAATCTTCCTTAAGTTAGCTCGAAATTGCACGAATGCACTTCTTTGCAGCAGATTTCAATAACATCCAACAAGCAATATTCAAAACAATCAACCAAATCCATAAATCAACTCTCCATTTGCTCAGCCGACAATTCTCAGAAATATCAACGCTCTAGCAGCGAGACGATATTAACCTGATTATTTTGTGCATATATGATTTTCTTGTTTTTAGAGCGATTTTCAACAAAGAGATCGTGGATTTCTCAAATATTCATCAGTTGCATTGTTTGTTTACATAATGTGCTCCGAAAATATTCGATGTTTTTGCATTAATTTACTTCGTTTTGTCACGAACAAATATTCAATTAAGTGCTTGCTCATTCGCATTGCTTTTGAATTTTGTTATCAATATCTCAGTTTTTTTTTTCAGCTGTTTCGCGGTAAATATTCCATCGATATAATCTCAACATTAAATAAAATTTTTCTTGTATCTGCGTTCATTACTCCACAAAACAGATCACTAGTTGGATCTGTATACGATTGAACCCTAATTTGCTCGGATCGGATTATAAAGCTGTCGTTGGCAAGAACCGAGACGACTTCGAGTAATGACTGCACCACCAATACATCGTCAGTTAAACAACAATGAACGATCTTCTCAGCATATTTACGAGTAATACGCAAACACATCAAAATACCTTCAGTCTCCTGCTGTCCAAAGCTGATTTAAAGAGTGTCATATTGTCACAATCGCTGTATTGCCACAATCACAAATTTAAGCATAATTTATCAGATACAGAATTTATTCGTGACATTATTAAACAAATAAGTAAAT